CTTAAGATCTAACTGCTCATTTTAAATCAATACTTTTACATTTAATACTTAAGTACATAAAGTATCAGATACTTTAAGACTTTTACTCAAGTAATATTCCTAAAGGAGACTTTAACTTTTACCAAAGTAATTTTTAGTAAGATACTTGTACTTTTACTCAAGTATCACTTTGTGGTACTTTATACAACACTGTTCTCTTACTGAACGACCCCACAATTAAATAAAAAAGTTAATTTCAGMTGCTAGTTGATTAAATATAATTAAGGAGAAGCCCTTGGAATACACATGAACCTGCCAGGTGTGAATGCACTCAATCTGACCTAACCAGCTGCAGCTGCATCACCTCTAAAAGATAGAAACAAGAAGTCTGAAACGCCCCTACGTAATCAGAGACGCATTAGAAGTGCACAGAAACTAACTGATCTATCTCAGCCAATCAGGGATGTGGAGATAACCCCACATAAGTTAAGACGCACCAGTCAGCTCAGCCATTATCTCCTTCACAGTTCCTCCCCTGGTGTAAGTGTAACCGTGGGCACGGTACGCAGTAATCAGGTGGTCCGACAGGTTAATAGATGCTTCAATACCAACAGCACAAGCCTCCTACGAAGAGAAAACAATCAAATTGATATGTGTGCATTCTGAAAGATAACCCCAAATATAAATGTTTTTGGACACGTGCATCAATTTGAAGATGAAGCCCACAGATTAAATTCTGTWAACTGAATTAAATTATGATAAAAAGTTTTTCCAACCTGTCCGTCATACAAGTGGCAGAACCCTCTTATGATCTTCTGCTTATACAGCTGATCGGCCTTCAGCTCCATCCGCCTCATAGTCTGCATGATGCGGTAATACTGCAGACCCTCGTCACGAGTCATAACCACCTGCGTGGCCGGGGCTTCRTCCAGCTTGTGGACGTCGCATTTCTGAGAAAACATTTTCAAGAAGTATTAATGACCCTAACACGTGTATGCCAGCTGAACATCTTAAAACATAGAGTGCATTAAAGATTGTTTGGTACCTTTATCTCAAAGCTGGCCTGGGTTGTGAAGTCAGTGTAGGTGCGTGCCGACATGACCACTGCAACTCCCTGATAATGGACACAAGAAGACAAAATTAGAAATAAACAAATTCAAAGTTTAGCATGAATTAAAATAATCTTTTTACTACTTTGCAACTTTTTTTTTACCTAAAAAATAGCATATTGTAATTTTTTTTTCTTTTATCACTGGAAGACAGGTGATGCTGTTTGTTGGTGCTTCATAAAAAAGTAACACTATTCTTATTACAACACATTTGATTCAGTGTAATGTGTTTAAATGTTTTGATTTTTGCAGAGYAGAAACTGCCACCATGTTGGGCTGGTAAAATATTTTTTTGACAGGTGAGTTGTCTTGTTTTGATGAAACGAGTTTAGCTAGTAGTAGCTGTCAGTTTTGAACACAGTCTGAATAAAATGAGGTTCAAAAAGCACAACCAACTTGTCAAGCTACTCAAATTTTAAAACACTAGTCCTTTCGGACGAAAAGACTAAACCCGACTAAATAGTTGTGGATTTTATTATAGTGTTTTTATCGTCGGGGCCTCACAAGGTCAGAATAACGCTGACAGTCTAACAGAGATCAACTCTGCCGGGTTTCGTGTTGAGAACTGKAATGCAGAGCTGGACTAAAGGCGACACACTTGGCATAAAATTCATTTGTACTCACATTTCTTTGAGTACAAGCTCTCAACACGTTGGAGAAAATGGTCAGCATCTTTCTAACCACCGAAGCGCACAGCTGGCCACGGAACCGTCCTTCTCCGGCAGAGCTCTGCCCTTCCGACTGCGCTCTTCTTCTACGGTTTAAAAACAAGCATGAGTGCTGAGGCAATGACTGCTGCCCCCAGCGGCTGGCAGAGAGAACTGCAGATAGATAGATAGATAGATAGATAGATAGATAGATAGATAGATAGAT